CTTCTGTTCCCTCTCCCAATAGGAATGGAAAGACCAGTAATATTTATCCACAACAGTTTCTCCAGAAGCAAGACGCAGCTCTTCGGCAAGTCCGCAGTCCGCCTTCCCGCAAGAAATACAGAGACTCTAAGATTTTCAATGCCGAAGATTAATAGAAAAAGTAGCCACAAAGAAATTGGCTCTATCCTAGATCCAGTATCAGATAGCACCGTCAAATGTCCTGGCCATTACAATCTTCCCATATCGTATTTGCAACTGGTGAGGCTCTAGCACCCCCACAAATTATTTTCCAGCTACTAGAGTGTCCCCTAGGGGATTTAAATCCTCAATTCGCTCCATATTATTTCCAGACATCTTTTTGTAGCAACCACCTCAGGATTACCCAATGATTGTCCAGGACACCCGTGCCGGGTGCTCAGATCCACGGGCACAAACATGAGCCAAGCCCGCCATTCCGTCTAGGCGAGCCACCTTATCCCAGCGACGTAGTGCATACCCTTGTGCTCAAGGTCTGTCCCACAGAAGCTCGAATAATCTCATTCGCATAATCATTGAGGACGATTTGGGAATAATAGTATGATCATGGGAAGACGAAGGACGGAAGCAGAACATGAAATTGATCACTATTATCCGTCCCGCATAGAGAGATGGCCTGATTCCCAAATTAAAGTGTAATGTTCCAGTGGCCCTCTGTGCATCAAAGGGGCAAAATCAACCTTGGAGAGCCTCCTCATGCAGTTAAGCCCCAAGTGTCCAATCTACCGAAAACTTAGTAGCAAACCACTGAATCCTAGTCATTCATGTATAGTAGACGGTCGGGGTCATCGGCGAAAGAGAACCGCAGACTTACTCCAGTCTCAACCTCTTCCCATCATGAGCAGTAATCCGTCAGGAATGCATGTCGTGCCGAAAGCATAGAGAGAGAGAGGCAATAGAGAGAGAGAGAGAGATAGAGAGACAGAGAGAGAGGGCAATAGAGGGAGGGATAGAGAGACTTGTATCCAGCCTTCCCTCTTGTCCTCGACTTTATCAAACAACATCTGCAATTCTCCCCAGGAATAGGATCGGGGAGTAACAAAGCCCCACCTCCCTAGGCAATCCAGGATAGCCCGAAGTTGCCCACATCTAGACGTGACTTGGTCTAGATCTTCAGTCTCGTTGCACCCAACCGGACAATTTAAGTTCACCTCAAACCCACGCCTGTGTAACTAGTGATTGGTTGGGACACAATTCCTTTAAATCCTCCACCAAAACAACTGCTCCCGTGGCCTTAATTCTATCTTCCAAGCAATGTAAGTAGGGTCATCTTCCTGTCTGAATAGCCGGCCATAGACCACCACATAAATCGTAGAACTGATGGGGCTCTTAATTAACTGTATAGAATCAGAAGTCTGCCTAACGTCAACAGGAATCTCGCAAATACGATCGACCAGCGATTGCCTAAAGCAAAGCAAAGCCTCGGCCGATCCCAGTAGCTACCATCAGATATAAAGTCGGACACCATTAGATTCTCAATGGCGACATCACAGAAGGTAGGCCACTCAGAGCGTGCCCTATCGCAAATCCAAATGTCTTCGAGAACATCAATGTTCTGCCCGTTACAGATGTTCCAGCGAACCGCACCACGGAGGCTTTCAGCCCCATCGCAAATGATCTTCTAGCAATTTGATTTCCTTCGACCCCTCTTAATCGCCCAAGGGCTGCCACCATATTTGTGTCTCAAACACCTTTGAAGCAGTCCCTCGGGTTTGTAAATGAATTCCCAGGTAATCCGGGACCGAAGAGGTCCAATCCAATCCATGCACGCATGGAAACCAAGACCGCCCAGGCGTCTTGGCTGAGAAACCCCCTCCTAGGCCACATAGTGGAAGTTTCTATGTGTAGGGTCTCTATCCCATAAAAAACTCCAGCACAACTTCTCAATTTCATGAAGGACATCTCTTGGCACCAAAGTGTGTGTCATAAAGTAAACTAGACTCGGCAGCAAAACAAAGTTAATAAGCGTTACCCGTCCAACCATTGACAGGTGCCTAGTTCCCCAGCAAAGGGTGCATCTGAAGGCTTTTTTAATCAAAAAAGCAAAGCCCTTCTTGACGAGCCTCCTCACAGCCAACTTAATGCCCAGGTACTCCATCTCCTCCACCATGCAGAAGCCAACCAGCTTCTCCAGCCGACACTTAGTAGTGGAAGGAGTCCTCTTGCTGAAGAGAATGGCAGACTTATTCGTAATCACCTTCTGGCCCGTCCACGAACAATAGTCCTCAATAATGGATTTTAGCTTCCTAGCATTGGGAATTGAAGCACCTGCAAAAATAAGATGTCGTCAGCATAAAGAAGGTGCGAGACAAAAGGTCCCCAACCACTAATTGGAACCCCAACTCCGCAAACTTCTGATGGAAAAGAGCAGACATTAGCTCAGAACAAAGGATGAACAAGTGACAACGGGCACCCCTAACGGAATCCACACCCCACAGTAATCGCCTTTGTAAGCTGGCCATTGATAAGAATAAAAAACTTTGGGTTCGAGACACAACTCATCACCTAAGAGCTGAACCTCGGAGGAAACCCCATACGCCTCAACACGATCTCCAAAGTCTGCCAGCCCATCTTGTCATAGGCTTATTCCATGTCCACCTTCACTGCCATAAGCCCCATAGTGGAATTAGACACCCTAAACTTGTGCATCAGTTCATGCCCAAGCAAGTAGTGATTAGAAATAGAGCGTCCGGGCACAAAAGCAGCTTGTTTCTTCGAAACCAAGCTTGGCAGAACACCTTTTATCCAGCCAACAAGCACTTTGGCGATAATCTTATAGATTGTCTGGCACAGACTGATCGGTCTGAACTTGGATGGGTGATCCGGGTTCACCACTTTAGACAGAAGAACTACCATCGTTTCCTTCCAAGAAGGATCCATGATTCCGGACGTGAAAAAATTCATGCAAGCACACAAAACTTGATCCAAGACAACATCCCAATAATACTTAAAAAAGGATACCATTATCTCGTCTCTCCCAGGGGCTTTATTTTAGCCCAGAGAGCTGGCAACCGCCCAGATGAAGAGGGAGAGAGACGGAAATAGAGGGAGGGAGAGGGAGAGAGAGAGCAATAGAGGGAGGGAGGCAGAGGGGGAGAGAGTGAGAAAGCGAAGCAATAAAGGGAAGGAGAGGGAG